TGATGATGATGATGATGATGATGATGATGATGATGATGATGATGATGCATCTGGAATGATGGTAGAAGTGATGACCATCAATTCACCCACAGTAGTTTGGGAAGGCACTGTCTAACTCAACATTCAATTCAGAAGGGTGCATATCCTCAAAAGTCACCAGTTGAGTGTGAGTCAAACTCCCGGGACCCTGGTTGACCTTCAACAAAATGCACTATCAGGATGCCAACCTAGCCAGGCAAAAACGTGATATGCCGGGTGGGTTAAGCCACATACTCTGCGTGACTGAGATGCACCTACCTACCCATGAAAGCAAACACTGGTACATGAGGATACGCTGGTACGATTTTTTCTGAACTGGTTTGACTCACATCAAGTCATCCTGAAAAAAGAATGATGAGTGTGCTACTACGCCTGTTCAGAACCAACTGTTAGTATAAATAACCCACAATGCATGACCAGCCCACCCACTCTGCCGAGCTGCTTCGCGCAGAGCTCCCTGAGCTCCACTACTCTGATCCGGAACGACCAACGTTCGAGGCACCAAGCTGAAGCTGGGTTTGGGCACCACGAACGTGAGATCGGCCACAGCACTCCGGACCACGAGCAAGACACAGAGCAGCCGCATCGCGGCCACCTCGGAGGCGAGATCAGCCACGGAATGGATAATGTCTATTGGAAGGGCGAAAGGGGCCCTGTCCCAGCACATCCCCTGCCCCACATCCAAAACCGCCAAGTGGCTCGAACGGGCCCGATCCGACACCCGTCCGAGGGAAAATACCCGTCACCGGTCGCCAACGCACCTCCAAAAGGAGCCGCAATGGCTGGCGGACGTTTCAGTGAAACAGAACTGGGAAACAAAACGTTTCGGGCAGGTTGGATATTGCACACGATTGTTGGAAAATAGTTGTTTCAAATGTTCGTGATCTTCCAACCTGAAAAATTATTTCGATTGTTTGTTCAAGCACAATTGATATTTGACACAACCGATTTACTTGCAAGCACCTCTGTCCCTGAAATTGTTGGTTCGGAACCAGTCAATCGAATCTTTGACAAAAAGGAAATAGAATGGTTGGACAGCAACACAATATTCCATACATGCATCTTTCCATCATGGTTTGAGTGGCTCGAGCAGGGGTTCTTCGGCCGCGAAAAAAATCGAAATGCGCAAAAAAAATTGACTTGTGTAGGGCCGGCTTGGCCAGTCGCTTGCATAGACTTTGGAGCCCGAGGCCATGTGTTGCTTTGATTGAACACGCACTACACCCCTCAACTCCTGGGACCTCTAAAACTTCATTCGTGTCCTAATGGAGCGATATCTTGGAGGGGATAGTCCTTGCATGGCTTAAACCGTTTAGACCTGGACCCGCAGGACCATAAACTGCGTACAAGTTGGAAGTGTGGGTGTTTCTAGCCTGTCCACGTTCGATGCTATGTTTTTTACCTTTGTTGTTTAGGTTGGATTCGCGGCGCTACAAAAAAAACGTGTACATTTCCAGAAGAACATACATCTCCCAAGAGGATAAGAACCAACAGGAAGCAATCCAGACATATCCTTTGGTTGCCCCGTTGATATTGACTTACTCCACTGCAATGTTGTATTTTTTGTTCGCAAGTGATTCCCCAACCAGTGTGGACACACTTAGGGGTTCTTACGGTGAGGGTGAAGCAGCTGTGCTTAGATCGCTGTGCCGCGCGGGCGTGTGCGGTGTTCTATGATGTTGATTGTTATTTGTCTCTATGTTGCTTACAATACATTCATGCCTCTCGAATGCGCAAATTCGCGAAATCTGGATGGCTGGAGCGGCTGCTTGTCGCGACTGCGCTCTCGTTGTGGTGCCGTGCGCACTTTTCGTGGCAGGCGCAAGGGAATCCTCGTGCTTTGGTGGTCCAAAGTGGACTTTTCGTGACAGGCGCAAGGGATCGAAGTGGATTTACTTGGAAGTGCCAATGGTCAGCAGTCCATGCCTGGTGAGCAGTCCATGATTGGTCAGCACTTTGAACATGGTGGTGATCTTTGAGGCGCTCTGATTTCTGGGCAGGTGCAGTGAAACGTGACTTTTCGACATGTGGTTCCTGTGCAGATTTTGTGGCAGGCGAAGCACTTTGTGAACCTCGACGTACAGATTTCGCGGCAGGCTCAGCACTTTGTGAACCTCGATGCGCAGATTTCGTGGCAGCCACAGCAGTTTGTGAACCTCGATGTCAGATTTCGTGGCAGGCGCAGCACTTTGTGAACCTCGAAATGCAGATTTCGTGGCAGGCACAGCACTTTCTTCGATGTGTAGATTTCGTGGCAGGTGCCGCACCTCGAAGTGCAGATTTCGTGGCAGGCGCAGCACTTTGTGAAGTGCAGATTTCGTAGCAGGCAAAGCACTTTGTGAGATTTCGTGGCAGGCGAAAAAACTTTGTGAACCTCGAAGCGCAGATTTCGTGGCACTTCTCCGCTCCACTCTCCACTCTCCACTCTCCACTCTCCACTCTCCACTCTCCACTCCACCTCCCACCTCCCATTCCACTCCACCCCACTCCACTCCACCTCCCACTCCACACTCCACTCCACGCTCCACTCACTTCGCACTCCACACTGAACTCACTAACTCCTCCACTCCACCGCTCCACTCGTAAAAGTTTGACACACAAACTTACAAATCGAAACCTGCAAATTCTCGTGTGCAAAACTTGTCGCAAGTCTGTCTCACAAATGACCGAGTCGAAAACAAAAAGAAAGCAACAAGAGCACACACACTTGAGCCAAACGTAAACGGTTATGGACACATGTAGCTCATTCAACGAAACCTTCGAAGAAGCTTTCCAAACAACAAGCTATGGTCTCGGTAGACCTTCAAACACAAATGCATGGTCTCGGTAGACCTCTAAACAAAAGTGTTCATTCTAAAAACTCTTCAAAGCAACTTGAACTGGTTTCAAGGGGTTCCAAAACTATTCACAAAGTTCCAAAACATTCTCTACACTTCTCAGGCGTTCACAACGCCTTCTCTAGCGGCTTCTACAAGTGGTATGGAGGCTTCGCTCCTGCAGTACAGTCTAAATTCACCAAGTTCACACCCCGTTTCGAAGCTCACACGCCACGCTCAGTCAGCTGCCCGCTGCATCGCCAGTAGCGCTTCTGGCACCATCAGCGCTCTTGGCACGCATAGTACCATGTCGAGCACAGTGCTGACAAAGCTTGAAAGAAGTCACCTTCTTTCTTTCCTTCACATAAGGACATTGAGGTGTAAGGGTGGAACCTCGCCCCTGTATTCGCGAAGTAAATTTCAGCGACATCCACTATTATTTCTCTCTGTTGTGGAGTTGTAGTCGCTTTTTCAGCGAATATCGCAGCAGCAGTAGAAAACTCATTAGCTTTCAACCATGCCTCTGCAGGACCTGGCTTCTTCACAGAAGCTTTCGGCTTCCCAACTAAGCGACTCATCGCACATTTTCCGGCCGCCCACAGCAGCGCAAACAGCCCATACATCGCAAGGGCAGCAACGCAGCTACCGAAGAAAGACAACCCACACACACAAATGGCTGCGCAGTTCTTACCAAATAGATCCACGATCTAATGAAGAATCTTGCAAACTTCAAAGAATATCTTTCAGTCGAATGGTAATCAACATTCTTGAACGGTGCGTGATCATCAACACACTTGCAAGCAAACCTGGCAGACAAACGCTTGGCTAAAGGCTGACTCGAAAGCTGAATCCTGAAAGTCTTTCCTACCTTCAGCCCACTCTGGGTTTCAAGACCCATTGCACAGGCATGACATTCACTCTGATATGCCATCTCTTGCTTCTCAAGGAACTTCTCAAGCTCGTGGGATTTCCAATATTGGTTGGCCTTTGGAAGTTCAAAAGAAGTTATACCTACGGCTTCTTTCATTGACCTGATCTCATCAAGGTACTTTTCACATGCCTTTAGAAGGTGAAAGAACTCTCTTTCATGTTTTGGGTTCCTGGCTGTGAACCGTGGGAGAGGAGATCCTCCCTTACGCGGCAGTGAGATGTGAATCCAAATCTGAGTATCAGACGACGTCCTTGCGCAGGACTATTTCGAGAACCTGAACGTGCACTCAAATTTTCAAGTTCAGCATGGATTCCAATGCACCTGATGAAGTCAAACTCTTGACATGCCTTGCAAATGACTGACCCTCGGCCACAAGCAGTCTCAAGAACAACAAAGCTTGGACCTGTGTTGGTCGACTCTCGACAAACCGTGAAAGTATTGAAGTCTTCAAGTGCTCTACTTGACGTTTGTTCTCGGCTTGCGAGAAGCTGGAACAACAAGACATTAAAAGTCGTTGTCACACAACCGCTTCCGTGGCACGCAATGCAGGTCGACATACTCCCGTTGCAGACGTATGGTGCCTCCTCGGATCCAGAAAGCATCGACGCCACGGGCCTCCGAAGAGGCTCCGCTACCACTATAAAGACGATACCCGATCGACGACCAACAAGCGCAAGACGCACGTCCCTTGGGGTTCAATGGCGACTCAGCCAATGACGGAGGAGGCGGTGGGGCGCAGGTGAGGGAACAAAAGCAGCGACGTTGGACTGAGGGTGATTTGGACAGTGACTTCATTTCGCTGTCCGGGTTGGACCTTGGCTCCCTCTGCAAACAAACATCTCCGAAACGGATGGGCGCCATCAGGGCGCGAGCCATTTTCGGGAAGCCATGTGGCACACTCGTTGTCATCCCTTCACCGACCCGAAGTTGCGGAGAAGCGCCTGGGCTTCAGGAGGAAATGCCCTGCTCGGCTTGCAAGAGAGCAGGCAGTTCAAGGCCTGTGCATTGGACTGGAGTTTCAAAGGCGGCAATCCAGTCCTTTCGAAGCATGACAGTTTCAAATCCACCCACGATGCAAGCCTTGTGGGGGCTGCCACACGGTCTCGCATTGGGATGACGACTTGTGGCTGAGCTTGAGGTCTGTTAGGCGAACTTTGCCCCCCCGAGGAGCTGGCAATGCAGCCAGTGCCAAGGCTGAGTCCATCCATCGGATAGACTCGAGGTGTGATGTTGTCTTGCTGCAGAATGTGGGTCAGCTGACATGTTGCAAACAAATGTCGAACTGCTGCTCCAGTGCAGCTGCCTGCACTGAATCCTCCTAATCACGAAGTGCTTCTGCGAAACTACAGGTTACGCTAGCAACCTTACCACCTATACGCGCAGACAAACAAACACGGACCAACACACAAGACCAACAAGTCAAACAAACGAACCGACCAACGAAAAGCGACGAAAGTGAGCGTGCACAAATCCAAACGACCGTCGGTCCACAAAACTCACTCTTTTCGCCCACACCACACACACGCACACGGAAGGTGAACCGTGTATGCGCATGTCTTGTCTTTCAACTTCACATTTTGTCAAAGTGGCTCTTGAGCCAAGAAGCATCCAAGGAAAACTTTACATCGTTCAAGCTCTTCTTGGTCAAAAACAAAGAGCATTTCCAATGCTCATTGCAACACTGAAGGCTTCATTCGCAAAACGATGTCCAACCAATGGACTTCTCTGGGTCATCATGCAACAATCATCCTCTCGTGGAGGATGTAAACACTACACATCGTGGTGCTATGCGCTCCAATGTCCTCAACCGCACATGTGCGCACATCAAAAGGCTCACAACTGAAATGAAGCCATTTAAAAGCTTCCGTGGACGATACTCAGTGGATTCAAATCCTCTATGCGCTCTGAGCATCGTTGTAGCAAAATGGGTGTCATCGGGTGGCACGACAGGGCACGCGTAGCATCATCCACTTCCACACCCCCACTTGCCATCGATGACCCAAAAAGCTGTACTGGCGCCTCATCCTATAGTCGCCT